TTAGGATGGTGGCCTGTGACTCATGCAGTATTTAAACATGGATGAGATTCATCCTTTTCAATCATACATGTTCTATCAGTGCTGGGGGAGACACTTCCAGCTACAGTTAGACTAGCTAGTAATTGTAGCTCATTTACTTCTCTCCTTTTCTGGTGCTAAACTAAATGCTGCCCTGACTTCAAACAACTTTCAATCAGGAACTATAATTCAAAACAAAGTTGTCCAGAGACACTTTGGATGCCTTATCTCTGGAAGTGCCTCAAGGCCAGATTGGACAGGGCTTTAGGCAGCCTGGTGTAGTGGAAGGTGTCCCTGCTCCACTAGAAGAGGAGAAGTGAAGTCAGACTAGATGAGCTTTAAATGTTCCTTCCAACATAAATCAACCTGTGCTTCTATGATTCTATGACGTAGAGGCCCTTCAGATTCTCACTGTGCATCTAAGCTGCCACTTTTTGGACAAATCTATTGAGAAACTTCCTGTTTTTCACCACCTTCTCTAGTGTGCTGATAAGTATAAGATCTCAATGTTCCCACATCCATACTGAGTCTTTAAAAATTCCTGGATATCAGGGAATTCTTTGAGGAGAAAAGACTTAGTTTGGTATTTCATTTTATTTTAGGTACAAAAACTGAGGGATTATTCTGTGTAAAATAGAAAAATACAAATACTGTGCTCAGTTTGAAAACCATGAGGGAGTTGGTTTTAAAAGCAAAATGAAAAAGCATGTTCTTGCACGCTTGTGTTGCTGGCTTGTAAAACAGTTATGTGTTTTAGAAGTCACACTCAGTTGTCACAGATTACTGGTGATAAATTGACATGAAATAGGAATATAGCTGAAACAAGATGAATTATTGTTCAAGATCAGTGTTGTTTTAGAAAGAATATGACAAAACAAAGCAGTTTAAGCCATGTCATCATAACATTTCTCCCCCTTTTATCCATTTAATTCTTGTTAGACAGCTGTTTTCCCTGTTGAAACATTTCAATATTCTAAGCAAATGACAGAAAAGCAATATGGAATTGTTAAAGCATTATTGAATTAATTCATTCTATTTGCAATTAAAATGTCAAGTGTAAAATATTGGTTGAAAGTATTTATGGGCTGAGAGTCACTCAAGAGGCTTGTATATCCTAGACCTGCTAAGCAACGTTTAAGAAAACTATAGTATTAATGGGCATTTTAGACTCTGTCAGTCTCATTTTGGATCAAGATCCTGTAGTAGCATAAATGGACAGATTGGTGTAGTTCGCATATCACACATATCATAGTGTTCCTAGTTGAGGAAGCTGCATGTTCCTCATTTGTTACACTGAAATTAATACTATTTCTCTCCTGATTTAGTATTTGATATGTGTATACAAATTATTTATATTTCAAATGCTGCTTTCACAGTACATAAAATATATATAAAAGGCCAAAAATATAGTAGGGAGAAAATTTTATGCAAGCCTTTTGTCAGATGAGTAAAATAGCAAGGAAGGCTTACCATCTAAGTTACTGATGAGACATCTTAATGACAGGCAATGAAACTACAGACTAACAAATCAAGTTTAGCTACACTGGAAATGTGTTTATAGTGCTGGGCCAAATTTTTCTCAAGTCTGCATGATTCTCTGTTATGATTTATCAACACTAGCTATTCATATTTCTCATAGTCAAGTCAAAGTCAGGATATACCTCCTAACTTTAGATTTGAGGGTAGTTTTGTATGCAAATGAGAAAGTTACTGAATTTTCAACAGCAACTTCAGACAAAAACAAGGAGATTAGGAAAAAGCTGGAGAAGTCTCTCCAGCAGCTCAAAAGGCCTTGTTTTCATTTTACATTACGAAAGAATTGCACCAGGGATAAATAGACTTTAGCCCTTCGAAATGTTTCATCTTTAAGATGAAAACATCTTTAAGAAAGGTTAAAGAGATGAGCTAAAACTCAGTATTTACTTCGTGTTGTGGGAGGCAAGTTTTTCTCTGAAACATGCCCTGCATCTGTAAGGCTCTGCGTATGCTTGAGATTTTGCAGAAATAAAGATTATAAATTTTTACTGCTGCCTGACTGGAGAGAGAATTCAAGGGAGCTCTACCAATTGACACCTTGGGCACATAATGAAATCACATTTTTCAACCCTTTGGCTGAATAAAAGCAATGGCCTACTCCTCAGCCACCAGCTTACATTGTATCAGCCTCATACTGGTATTTTGTTTGTGAAAGACAAGTACCTTTTTACAAAACAGCCCAATACCCCTCTGATGTGTAATGAATCCTAGCAACAACTTAGCTCAGTAGCAATGCGCAGCAGTGATAATGCAGAGTACATAAGTGGGAAGGTGAAAGGTCTGGAGGCATTTTGCACTAACATAAGCAGTTAGCTTATCTCGCTCTGCAGACATCATTACCTTTCAGAGTGCTTTTGATTAATCTGGGTTAACAAAATCAACTTAGTATATTTTGCCTACAAATCAGTGGAAGTTCCAGGTGTTTCCTAGAAGACATTTGTAGCTCCATGTAGACCACCAGGTTATTTTCAGTGTTTGCGACAGGCACCTTGGCATATAGTTCACAGGAATACTAGGATGTACACAGATGAGGAAGTAGTAGAGAGAAAAATCTGTTTTCCTCTCTGGGACACAACTACTTTGTTTAACTCTGTGATTCTTTCCTGAATTGCTATATTTTGGTCTTTGAAAATTATGGGTCTCTACTGGTACGTTCAGCTAACCCACCCACTTCATCAATGGCTTTGAAATGGAAATGATTTGGACAACCAAATGTCAGTACACATGGGAGAATTTAAGAGTAACCCTGTCTGTCAGGAAGTTTTTATTTCAATGGGAAGGCCTTCCAAGGAAAAAAAGGGATTTATGTTTCATCTGAGAAAAAAAAAAACACCATCAGTAGACTTCTGCTCTCATGCAAGAGATTTAAACATTGAGTAATGGACAATTAACACAACCACATAACCTTGAGCAGTAATTTTTTCTCCTGGATGAAAACTCCTCCAAAATTCTGCCTTCCAAGTAATTGTTAGGGTATAAAAATAGAAAGATCACTCTACAGATTTTATTTGCATTTTTAATGTACCAACTAGGGAAAAAATGTTCTATGTGTAAGTATCTTAAAAGTCACATAAATTTCCATCTGAAGGTCACTGACTGGTGGTGGCAATGCTACATGCTTTTCTGCCCTTATTTCTGGTTAAGAAAAGGTAAGGTGAGGAGAATTTTGGCTCTTGGAGCTCAGAAGGTGGGTTGAACACAAGCATTTTAAAACTGGACATCTTGAGCTCTAATTCTATGTAAGTTGCTAACTGTCAGGAATTAAAATGCATTTTCCATGAATTACCTGAAAAAAATTTCAATTAATGAAAATTTAGTCCCTTGCTTTTTTGAATGTTCTATACAGAGTAACTGTGTGCAGTTACGGACCATGTGGGTTAAGACTCTTGTTCCTCCCACTGATCTTCCGAGCAAACAGAAAGATTATTAATTAAAATTTTAGTATGAGAACAGACTTATATCTTCACAGAAAATTATGCACTCATTGTCTGATGTTTGCAATGAAATGACTAAGGACATTTTTATCACAGGAATCTTTAACACAATGCAAAATGTTTCTTCATCTAACCTCTCCTTGTCTTCTTTTGTCTGCTCCACCCACATAGAGAGAATCTATATGATTCTGGGACATCTCCTTCCCTATCCATTTGTTTTTTTAATTTGTAAAGAGAAGTCAGAATGGAAGGAAGGAAGGCTGAATTTATTATTTTCATGTATTTCAGTTGTGTTTAATTTTGGAACACAGTGCTTGCCTCATGTGGCATAAGAGCTGCATGTCGTTGTCTCCAAAGGAACATTTCCATGCTATGTGCACTTCGGTTTGGGGCTCACAAGGAAAGAGATGGAAAGAAAACCAGTTCATTACACAGTCACTACACCTTGCCATATTTTTCATTGAAGAATCCTTTTTAGCTGTCAGTTTCAGACAGTATTTGGAAGATGTCATCCCTAAGTTTTGGACTGTATTTCTTTGAGAATGAATATTTTTTTCAGATAGAGTCCTTTGAATTTTGGTTTGGCAATGAATAGAGATTGCTTTCACAAACCCTCTACAGCATGCAATTGACAGGACTTACACCATGCTTTGTTGCATTGCTAGTTAAAATAGCACTTACAATTTTCTGTGGGTTTCTGTGGTAGCAAGAAAAATGGACTTATTAATATTTGCAATCTAAAACTCCTCCTGTGGAAGCATTTTTGTTTCACCTTCTGCTGTCAGAAGGTTATCAAGAGCACCAGTTTGTCACAATGGAGCATCATGGCTAGCAGCTCTTCAAATTCCTCAAAACCCTTTTGCAAGTTTCTGTTTCGATTGGAACAGCAACCAAAAACACACAGCTGATGCACTTAAGTGCTTTTCACCCTCATCATGCAGACAGCTTTAAGGAAATGGTGGATCTACCTGTTTGGTTGGCCAATGACAAGCATACTGTATACAGGAACAGGAGAGCATCCACACGCTTCTTACACTCAGGGAAGTTCAGAGAATACAACAGCTACAAAATAGTCTGTTCTTTCACAAATGTATTGTCTCAGTTAGCTTTGTTGAATACATATGCATATGCGTGTAATATTTGAGTAATGGAAGTAACCTTCCTCTCATTCATTATGCTTAGCCCCTTGTCATACAAGAGGGCTGAGCTAAATTAAGGCACATGGACAAAGGGCAGTCAGGGGCAGTTTTAGTCACCGGTGTCCTGTAGTTCTCATGGTAGGGCAATGTAGGTACTGCCTCATGCCACTCCTGTAATAAATCAGTGAACAGATTTGTTTTGACAAATAGATAAAGTCATTATTGTTCCTAACAATGAGATTTTGGGGCTTTTAGTGAAATTAAGGAAGAGATAAAAAGGTACTCCTGTTAGGATGTGACACTCTGGAATTAGTCCATGATGAAACCCAAGGGTTTATGTTATAACTGTATCCGTTCTGTTTGTACCTTGCAGTGAGCCACCTTTATGGATTTGGACTGATGGATGCTGAAGCAATGGTGACAGAAGCAGAAAAGTGGACAACGGTGCCTCCACAGCATGTGTGTGTGGAGAACACAGATCGGCAAATCAAGTAATAGCCGCTCCCAAAACTCTTGCTGGCATAAACTTATGGAAAGAAACTGGGTATAATTTAGCCCTCCCTTGCACTGTGTATTTCTTTTTAAAGCCATACCAGGGATTCTGTCATATATATGGATGTAGTGAATGGGAAAAGGTCCTAGTTTAAAGAACATTGCAGAAGGTGAAGGTGTAAAACAGGCCAGACTGGTTAATGATGGATTTTTATATAGATGATGCATCAAAGAACATTTGGTTGAATGCATTTCAGTCACCTTTGCAAGAAGAGTGCAGACTTACCAGCATGTAACAAGAAAAAATGCTTTCAATACTTTATGATATTGTCTCTCTCCAATAGTCTTAGGAGAGTCTCTAGTTCAGAGGCCAAAACTAAACTGCAAAACCCACTGTGACTGGGTCTTTATAGAACCAGGCTTAAGAGCAAGATTCCATTATGTGCACTCCATGGATATAGAGACAGCATCAAGCATGAGGCACACTTACAAAGCATTCAGAATATTCTTTGATAATTATATTTGACAGGCTTGATTTGTAACTGGTATAGTCTGCAAGGATGTCATGCCAATTTAAACCAGCTGAGTCAGATGCCTCTTGGTACAGTTAACATGCAATACTTGCTGTTACGTAAGTGAGAACTAGGTATGCCAGGCATTTCCTGGGGTTTAGCAACCAGCTGTGATCCCATGACAATCTCAGCAATTCTCAGCTGGCCACTAATCCACAATAATGCTCTGTCCCAAAGGTTTGTTCCTATTTTACCTGGTGTATGTGCTTAACAGAAACCCAGGCAGTTGCCATTAGCCATTATCTGCAGTAAAATAATTACCCTGTAGTGGTATTTCCATCTAGGAGTTACATGTCAAAACTATTGATTGTAGGCTACTGACTTCTGAGTTGTCCAACACTGTCATTCTCTAAGCAAAAAAAGATGGGGTTATGTATTTTGCACAAAAAGTGAGAAATACTGATGTTGTTTGCTATGCTTCTGTTCTAGAACAATACGACCTGACAGCATTGTCCGTTCAATTTACAAAGCCACTGGCTGTTCAGATAATCCTAACCACCATGTGATCTACTTGGAGCATGTTGTTGTGCGCATCACTATTACTCACCCTCGACGTGGCGACTTGGCAATTTACCTAACCTCTCCTTCTGGAACTAGGTCACAGCTTTTGGCCAACAGGTATGGTATGACTACCCAATTTCACACTACAGTCAGCATGTAGAGCCTGCATTGAGATGTCAGTGTCAGCAAAGAGCAGTCATGTCATTACAGCAGGGTTGCTAGAAGACACATGCTAGTTATTTTTCCTTAGAGAGATGGTCAGAATGAAGTACAAATGAACTCAGAGATGACAATCTCAGTAGAAGACTAGTGTTAGAACTGTTGAACTCCAACACAAAGATTAGTCAATTTCAATAGTTCTTGTGTGGCTCACCATTTATTAGATGGCTGGAAAATGTGAAGAAGTCAGACTCAGCCTGATAAGTCTGATAAGGAAGCTGAATCAAAGTGTTTCTACATATTGCCTCTTATTTTTTGTTTTAATCTTTTCTTATCTTTTTGTTTCTAAATAGCAATGAAAATCAGACAGAATAGTGTATATTTACTACTGTTCTTTTTAAATCCCTGATGTTACTTGAAAAATCCTGTTTTTCAAAGTAAACATATTCAGTTGATGAAAGGCTCATTGTAGGACAACATGAGAAGTAGCACTAGTGTTTGAAATTAAAGGCTTAAGTTGTAAATTGCAGATTAAAATTTTTAAGTTAGACATCGCTTTCAAATATTTTTAAAAGTTAGATATCAGTGCAGTGATGGATACTTCCTTTCAAATGTCCAGCCATTTTAACAACTACTAAGAACAGCTACTTTAACAGCTACTGAGAAATACCAATCTTTTTCCTCATTCTGTCACCTCTGTGTTATGTTTTTGGAGAAACTGTCACAGTGCATCAAATTGTTTTGTTTTTTTCTTCTGACTGAACTCAGACAAGTATCTCTTTATCCAATGTATCATTTCCAACATTAGTGCAGTTTATGTCCCTGGTAAGTGGAGGGAATCATTAGCTGAAAACTAATCAAACTGAAAGACTGCTCAGTGATGTTTCTGTTTCTCCAATCTACTAGCAGAAATTTTCTTCGAAGAAAACATTAGCAGTTTTTCCCATGTAAATCTCACTAAATCCATGGCCAAGAACACCACCTCCTACTAGAGATGGTTAAGACACTAAAAAACATCAGAAAATTTTCCAAACTTTATTCCCAGTTCCAACTTCTTAAGTTACATTTACAGTACAAAATGCTTGTCTACTACTCCAGCTAGCTGGAAATCTTCTTCCTGATGGGACCATAGTATGATAGATAATTCTTTTTCCTTGATGATTTGACTTAGACGACTGCCATTCCGCTAGACGTAGAGCATGGCTCCCACAGAAAAGTTGATGTTTACTGATATTATGTATCAGATACTGCAAAAATTGGTATCTATCAGGCAGACCTATGTTGTAAAAACTCTTCTGCCATATTGCTTAAGTCTTCACAAAAGTTGATATCCCTAGTCCTACTCTTCAGGGCTTTTAATGAGTTGAGAATGGCCTGCTTTCCAGACTGCTTTTCATCCACGCTTCCTCAGCCAGAAATGCTGATTATCTGGCTCTGGAGACTTGTATGTCTTCCTGTATCTCAATGATAGAAGGACTTATATTTCCATTGAAATAAAGAGCCTGTTTTGGAGACAGGTGGAGCTCAAATGGACTGGGTTCTGGTTGAAGTGTGAATGCACATTTTCATTAGAGATTATGTTAAATTTAAAGAAAAGGTAAACTGAAAATACTCTTCAAGCTGTAGGCAATAATTCACCAAATGGAGAGAAAGTTGTCCCGGAAGTTTGGGGTCCTCTAGAATATCTCCTGTGTTCCATTGTGAATGCTGTCATAGGTTGCTGATAATGCACATAGGCACACATATCTTTCTGCTGCATTGCGGCACTGAACAAAAAAATTGTCCTCTGCTAGCCACTACAAAACAGGTTTCTCTTATTAGTTATGAAACAGGCTTTTTTTTCAGTTTGAAGAAATCCTTCTTTAGTTTTCTCTTCCATTTTCATGCAGTAGTTCTTCCTCAGTTCAAAATGAAAAAACTGAAAGTCATCCAACTAGGTATCCAAACAAAACAATCTTGTGTAAACCCAGTGGTCTTAACACAGCTAACTTTTGGCTCAAGGCTTTCATGTGTTGCAGCTGACTCACAGCAAGTGGGAAATGCATTCCAGTATTCACAGTTCACTTCTGGTGATGATTGGTGTGTGGAACAGGTACAAAATTTAATTCAATCAGTGTCTTTGTAACCATTGCACCTTAGAAGTAATTATTTTCTGTACGTGCAGTAGAGAAAGGGAATGTAAATATACATAATAAAATGAGGGGATGTTCAACTCTTTCTTATCAGATCATACCAGAAGACTAAACAAAAAACAAAGAAACCTTTGTTTCCCAGAAAACAAATTATTCATGACAGAGCTCATAGAATCTCACCAGAAATTCCCTTCCCATGCAAACTTCAGAAATATACTAACTTGCCATCACATTGGGTTGATGGGCTACTAAAAAGCTCTGTACTAATATTAGGGATAAATGCATATTGCAAATTCTAGGTCTGAAATACCTAGAGCCCTTTCTTAGGGTAAAGTAAGGGATATAAACACAATACTTTCTGAAATGGTGTTTCAAGGTTTACTTTATTTGGCCTTGCTTTAAGAAGCCATACAGCTTAGAGGCAGTAATTTCTTGAAATTAGGAGTATGCTGTGTGTTGTTGATGTAAATGTTTTAGCATCATGTTATAAAATAAAACTTGAAATAGGATGGTTGTTATCCTCCAGTATGAAAAATTAATTACAAGGCATTTGATTTTTAACAATAATACTGCATATCAGTGAATTAATGCATTCAGCTGTAAGCATGCATGCAGAGTTACATTGGCAGCAAATAGTCTGTTTTTTCTGCTATAGGCAAAGGCCCCAGAGGCTGTTGTACATTGCTACTACCTGACTGAGATGTTTTTTCTCAGACATACAAGACTTTTTAATGCACATGTACAGGATTAATAGCAGCAATACCAGCTGTTTTTACTGAACCCAGGGAAAACCACATTGTTTTACAGTTACTCATCTGGGTTTAATTTGATACAGTTTGCTGGTAAAATGTTGTTAAGTGCAAAAGGTATATTTTACATGTGCACTTCTCCACCAATTCTGGAAGAAAAGTCATTGTGTGTAATTTCTGGTGCATTGACAAGTAGGTCCCTTAAGGCAATATTTGGCCTTTTTTCTGCATATTTTATCCTTAATGTTGGCATCCCCTAAAATGACTTCAGTAAGAAAACTTGTTAGTCAGAGACTGTGTGGATTCCTTTGCAGGCATTTGGTGGATAACACTGTCACTGGTTTAAGCCTTATGTGCATTCTTCAAAATCTGGATTACAGAGAACATCTGCTTTGTTGTTTGGAAAGTACTAACATGATTACATTGGATGCACTGCAGCAGAGGAAAATACAGGCTGGAAGAGTATTGGCTGGTGTGAGGATGAGGCTAAAGTTAAGTCCAAAGGGGAACAGGATCCCCTTTTCAAAAACAATTGGCCAGTGGATTTGGCAGTGTGGGTTTCTGAGTGTATTTTGAGACATACCAAGGTCAGTTCTAGCAAACATTCGGTACAGGCAGGCTACGGAGGAGAAGCTAGATACAAAGGGAGTAGGAGAAGCAAACTTAGGGCTCATTTGTCTCCCACTGAAGTCATTGCTTATTTAATTCCTGCCCTTTAAATTTAAAGCAGCTGTTGCCATTTGAACTGCGTAACTGAAATATTTCAGCCACATGGTGGCAACTTTCCAGGCCACTAGCTTCATAAGCTTATATGGCCCTGGTATTAATAATACTTCTCTTCAGTAACAAAAGAATGTATTTTCATGGCCATCTTTTTCCTATCGTGAAATCTTAGACAATCAGTAAATTTTAATAATATCTTCCTCTGCAGAACTCTTAGACCAAAACCAAGTTGTTCTTATCTAATCTTACTCAATTGTATGCTTCATAAAATGCCTTTGTGATCTGAAGTAGAGGAAAACTTTCTTTATAGGCATACATCTTTTTTGCACCTTAGATGTTATACTCCAATATTAAACAAAACTAACATTTTATGTATCTTAGTATGATGAAACATAAGGGCCAACCTTCATGCTGAGTCTCACTAAAAAGGCATCTGAGGTGGTAGTAATCTAAGTGCACAATGAGTTGATGATAATCCTATGCTTGTACTGTGTCTACAGGGTGAAGCAGTTCTTGGACATTTTTTTCTGTCAGCTTGCTATGTTTTTTCATTCACGTTAGCTATATATTTTTTCTTTTTTTCCTTTTTTTTTTTTTCATTTGAGGGGTTGATGAATAGATATCCCACTATTGAACACCTGGCTGACCAGTGGAGTGTGTGGAGCTCATCAGCCTGACATATCTGCAAGTAATGATGGATATTTTAATGTTGATATGTGTAGTTCCTGGGGACAAACATTCCACTTTTAAAGATGGTGATTGCCATACTAGCCACTATTTCAGGCTGGCAAGCATTGTACATTATTGTTCATGTTACTCCAAATTTTATCATGATAGTTTAGGGTTATCCATTGTTTCATAAAACTAACTTATAAGCAGATGTAACATGGGGGAAAAAAAAAATGTGTGTGCAAATATTTTAAATATGTTTTATTTAGCTCCACATTCAGAAGTTTTAAGTGATCTTCCACATGTAGGTAAGAAAGCTTCTGAAATGCTTAGTGTGTTCTCTGACCATTTATTTTTTTCCCAATACTTCAGTGCAGATGGGTAGTAGGGTCTGGCTGAAGCTTTGGTTAAGTCAGTTTGAGCCGTCTGCAGTTTCTCAGGGGCTACATCTCACAGGGAGCTGATGATTCGACCCTGTGGAGAAGAGCTGCTTTAAGGAGAATAGTTGACCAAAGCACTTTCAGGTACACAGGTTAGGAAGGCACTACGTAGTCACTTGAAACTATGAGTGCACTTAAAGTCTTGTGGCCATGCAGACTTCTGGGCAAGGACCACTAGTCCATGAGGCTGCCAGTTTGTGTGCTGGAGCAGATCATAACAAAGACTGCTGCTGTAGGAGAAGAAG